TCTGAGACCTGGTACTGCCTGCTTTACTACCCAAGGGCTGCAAGCCTTCAGGGAGTCTCCCAGGTACCAGGCCAGGGGCATGTTGTGCTAAGGGTGGAAGTTTCTCCCCTTAAAGGGGCATAGTGTTGTTGTCCTTGCTAGTGTTTAAATTATAGCCCAGGGGATTATGCTTGTGTTACAGTTTGCACCGGAGGACAGGGATGAAGCTATAAGCAGAGGTTTGGAGGCCTCAATAGTGCCTGGAGAAAGGGGCACATGAGTTGGGGAGAGCCCAGAGATAGGCACACAGAGAAAGAGGCACCAGAGGGGCACAGCTACAGAGGCACAGAGGGCCCCAGCGCCTGAGGGCGGCAGAAGGGGCAGATACTAGTATAACATCTGCGAGGCTTGGGACATGGTAAAGGGGAGGTTGGAGTCATGTGTAACACCCTTGGCATCAGGGCAGACAAAGGGCAGCCTTTTGCTTAGAACCATCTATTTATTTTCATTACAACAAGGCATGGCAGGTGAGGTAGGCTGGTGGACTGCCCAGGACAGGTGTGCAAGCTGATGGAGAGATTGGCCATGGGACTGCCCACTGTCACAGTGGTGCACTGGCTGGGAAATTGGGCAGGCATCAGGAGGACACATGTTGCTATGAAGGGACAATGAATCTTTGGGCTGAGGGGCCAAAGGACAGAGTCAAAGGCTGAAAAAATCATGGCTGAGGCCAGCAAGTTAGATGGACTTAAGCATGAGGTATTAAACTGGCAGATGTACTCAGATGAGTTATCAGAGAGAGCATCTCATCTGTAGTGGGAGCTGGAGATAGAAAAGTCCAGATGGGAGCAAGCAGAGGCAAAACTGGGCGCCTCAGAACAATGCTTGCAAACCAGTAAAAAGGAAGGAGGATAGAAAGAGGTTAGACACTTGAGTGCAGCAGAGGCTGAAAGAACCAAAGCACTTGAAAAGCTGATTACAGCAGAGCCTGACAAGATCCTGGAACCTGAGAAAAAGTTACACACATTACAGAAAGAAATAAAGGCACTAGCTCCAAGATTGGTAGGGACACATACAGCACAGACACAGGAGATGTCCATCCTCGAGCAGTGGGTAAAAGATTTAGGTTGCACCATAAAGACCTTGGAGATGCAACTGAAAGGTCGGGATGACCTGGTGGAGGAATTGTATGATGAGGTCAAGGAATGGCACCAGAAGTTTACCCAAGAGGCACAGGCCCTATAACAAATGACAACTGAAGCCAGGTCTGCATACAAAAAAACAGACCAGGTGACAGCAGTAGTAATGGTGAAGACTAGTGAACAACAGCTAGAGATGAAGAAGCTCCTGGCTCAGCTGCCTTCCCTGGAGATGGAGCTAAAGTCCAGGACAGAGGACTGTGACACGTTGAGGGCTAAGCTGGAAGAGGCAGAGACTGAGAATAGGCAGTATGGGGAAAAGATGCAATCCCTAGAGATATGCTCGGGGGCAGGCAAAGCAGGAGAAGCAGCACTAGGGGCTGAGATAAACCAATTACAATCATGCTTACAGGACACAGGAGAACAGATCATGTTCCTTGAGAGGAAAAATCAACAAGTCAAGGAGTGTCCAGATCAAACCACCACAAAAGTCAGAGACTTCCATCTGAGTGAGCCATTATAGACTCAATGTGAACAATACCAAGCCCAGCTCACAAAAATGGAAGAGAAGATGCAAAACTTACAGCAAAGTCTCAAAGAGGGGAGCAGTAATGGGGAATTGGGCTAGCACTAGCCCAAAAAGAACTTCAGGAAGCTCAAAGCAGGGTGCAGTC